TGTTTAGCCTGGAGAAGAGGAGGCTGAGGGGAGACCTCATCGCGCTCTACAACTACCTGAAAGGAGGTTGTAGAGAAGTGGGCGTTGGTCTCTTCTTCCAAGTAACAAGCGATAGGACGCGAGGAAATGGCCTCAAGTTGCGCCAAGGGAGGTTTGGATTGGACATTAGGAAAAACTTCTTTGCTGAAAGAGTGGTCAGGCCTCGGAACAGGCTGCCCAGGGAAGTGGTAGAGTCACCATCCCTGGAAGTATTTAAAAGACGTGTAGATGAGGCGCTTAGGGACATGGTTTAGTGGGCATGGTAGTGTTGGGTTGACGGTTGGACTTGATGATCTTAGAGGTCTTTTCCAACCTTAATGATTCTATGATTCTACAAGAGTGATAACTTCTGGTAGAGGGGAAGATCAGATAGCTGGGACAGCCCTCATAACACTTCTGATATACTTTGGTTGAGGACAGATTTCACAAAAAATTGATCTTAGAAGATTAAGGATTTCCAGAATAGTAGCAGAAATCACAAGAATGTGGTAAAATTTTCTTAGATACTAATTTATGTATGCATTTATTTTACTATAAACTAAAGAAAGACATGGACCTGTTGGAGCGGGTTCAGAGGAGGGCCACAAAAATGATCAGGGGGGTGGAACGCCTCTCCTATGAGGAAAGGCTAAGACAGTTTGGGTTATTCAGCCTGGAGAAGAGAAGACTCCGGGGAGACCTTACTGCAGCCTTTCAGTACTTGAAGGGGGCTTATAAGAAAGATGGCGGCAAACTTTTTAGCAGGGCCTGTTGCGACAGGACAAGGGGTAATGGTTTTAAACTGAAAGAGGGTAGATTTAGACTAGGTATAAGGAAGAAATTTTTTACAATGAGGGTGCTGAAACACTGGAACAGAGATGTGGTAGATGCCCCATCCCTGGAAACATTCAAGGTCAGGTTGGATGGGGCTCTGAGCAACCTGATCTAGTTGAAGGTGTCCCTGCCCATGATAGGGGGGTTGGACTAGATGACCTGTGAGGGTCCCTTCCAACCCAAACTATTCTATGATTCTATGATAATTTAGCTGGGTATTTATGCTCTAGGAATACGGGATGAATGTGTGAAGATCTATTGATAATAGCGTGTATGTTGATACAACTTACTAGACTAGCATAAAGACTGAATTCCTGCACTTCACAGTCTACTGAAAACTCATATTTCAGTCTGAGAAGATCTTTCAGCCCTTGAATTCCCAAATTGCTGAGAAAAATTAGTTTTCTTTGGAGGATGAATGGCAATATCTTCCAAAAAGATCAGCTAGTCTGACTGACCTCTGAGTCATACTACTGGTGTTCCCGCAATACCATTTTCCTCTTTTGGCCTTTGTCCACAGCTTCCTCGTTTAAATACTTGCGATTGCTTATAAATCAGCAGTTTGAACATAGAACAAAGGAGCATATTTCTTAGTTTTAGAACTGGTGTTTGCCCCCTTAAATGGCAAATTACCAGTTTTTTTATTCCTCCTCCATTTTCCTATTGATAACACTGCCTTAAGGCCTGCAGACACACCTTTGCGATGGATAAGCCTGTAGCTTGTGTTTTGAGATTCAGTATAGCTCATTTCAAGCTCAGCAAGATCATACCTTAAGCAAACAAAACAATAATAGTTAAGCAAGAGATTTTAACTTCCTAAGATTTTTTCTTAGCCTGTTTTTTCTCTCAGGACTGGAAAAATGCTTCCCTGCCCTCCCCCCCCAGAAGAAGACAGAGTTAACGTGGATTGTTGCTGGGTTTGGGCTTTCTACGTCTTGCATGTCCCTTTAATAGTCCAAAGATGTATCTAGAATATTTTATACTGTGGCTTTTTACTTACTCTGTAGTAGCCTATGAAACATGTAAAATGTTAAAAGAGACAAAAAATGCTACATATTTATCTTACTGCTTCTAAGGAAGTGCAATGTTGCATTCAAATGTGCTTTCAAAATTTTTCAAGGAAAATTTTTGTGTTTGTGGATGACTTTTTATTTTAAAGAAAAGCAGTCAAAAGACTTGAAATTATATGTTTTCAGAAAATAGAATAAATATTAAGCCAAGTCCCAAATCATAAAACAGTGAGCAACATTACCTAAGCAACTAAAATATCACTAAGTAAAGGGTATATAGTGAAACTTTAGTTCATATTCAAGATATCTTATCTGATATATACAGTGTACTTTTAGTAAAAATCAGCCAACATTTAGGAAGAACGTTTCTGTAAAACTACATTATTACCTTGAGTTTTCTTCTGCAAATTGTTAATCTTTTATTTTTTTTTTCTTTGCTTAACAGATGACCCTAAAGTGATTGTTGCCAACCTTACAGTAAGTATTTAGGACTGGGAGGTATCTTTGTCTATAGTGCACTGCTCACTTCACATCTTAATTTGGGGCATTATTCAGCATTCTCTCCTCACTCTTTAGGCAGGAAAACCAACCATTAACATGAAAAAAGAGTGTTAAATGGTGCCCTTCATGAGTACAGATTAATGTTTGTCATAAATTCCACTGTTTGCTGCCATAGTAGCTTTTATAACCTTTTTGGGCAGTGCAGAGCCAGAATCTCCCTGACCGTTTTGACTCCCTGAATTGAGTCTATTTATTCGTTCCTTCAGAAATGGAAAGTAATCTTTTAGGGTAAATATTTTACTAGCACTTTGAAGACGCTGAAAAAGTTCATTTGATAGCCTTCAACTATAATCTTGTTTTTAATGGAAAAAAGTGTTTAAAATAAAAACGGATTTAAAAAAAAAAATCAAATTTTGTAACCAGATGGCTTTAAATATATCTGCAGACAAGATGTGTTTTGAGCATTCAGCTTTCCTCTGAAACTTAAGCTTTGGTCCAGTTAGAATAGAATTCTTCATCTGTGAGCTAAGTAAGTGTGATGTTTTGCATGATGCTTTCAAAAAGACTGTCATGAGAATGAAGCTTTCCAAATACATCTTTGAATGACTCCCTGGGCTTTGGTCTTACATAAATACTGCACAGATAGGGCTGGACCACGTACTCTAGATGTACACTTTGTTTTCAAGACATCATCAATAATGACCTTAACAGCTTGATTTCTGTAGTTCAAGGTTTTATGCGCGTCTAAGCTAATTGACAGCAGTGTCATTTGTAACCATTTATTTTTCAGTGTAGAAAACCAGACCAGCACTTCAAGCCTTACTTGAAACAGCACCTGCCTAAACGCTTGCACTACGCTTACAACCGAAGAATTGAGGATGTCCATTTACTGGTGGATCGCAAATGGCATGTGGCAAGGTAAACTCTTGCATTTGCTTCCATCCCGATTTTCAGCCTTTTTTTCTGAGGAAACAAGACACCTGGGATTGCCCTGTCTGTCAGCATCCCACTCCTGTACCCCATGAGCAAGAGGAATTTTGAAGTCCTGGTGAGGTTCAATCACATTTGGTGCAGGGGGATGTGACTCAGAACACAAAATTGTTTTAAAATTTGGGAAAATCAGTAGCTGGATAGAAGGTAGAAACCCAGATTGGTTTATGGTTTTCTCCTCAAGCAGCTATGTGGTTTTTGACTGATTAGCTCAAGTATAGGAGCCGACAAGCTTTTTTAATGAGGTGCAAGCTTATCCAAACCAGGAAGCAGTGAATATGGGAGGAAGGGGAAGGCATATGTGACCAGGGGATGTTAGGGAACAAGAGGCTGAGTGGATGCAATGGGTGAATGGAAAGAAAATGGAAATATTGGCAGAGTAGGTGAATGCCTGAGAACATGTGGAAGGGTATGACAGGGTGGCCATCAAAGTGCCGGCAGTGTATTGTGTTGCAAAACAAATTCACAGAAAACCAGGATGCTTTAGCTCAGAGAAAACCTTGTTTTGGGTTGTTCTTCCCCATATGCCTCTGAATTTTCAGTTATAAAATATGGGCAGTTTTTAATATTCTTAGTAAGCTAAAAATTGAGCAAGGAAAAACAAGTTGGCACATATATGTATAGAGTGACAAGAGAGGAGTAGCATTTGTTTATGAATTGTGCATCCTTTTCTGGTTTAATATATATTCTTTTTCTTACTTTGATCTTTTGACACGTTGTGTATTACAGTATGAGAATGGTTGGGTCTTTATGCATATAGCTGACTCAGTGGTTCTTGGAAGATGACACAGCTTTTGGCTCATGGTAGTCTGTTATGAGCTTTAAATTACGGCAGGGTTTTTTGCCCGTATAGCTGCCAGGCAAACACACGGTGTGTTGTAAGTTCCTTTTGACATCTGTGCTTATCTTTATGTGAATTATGCAAGGACCACTCTGCTGAAGAAGTGAATGAGAAACCCCATTGCTTTCTTGCATAACTCCACCAGCTGGCTGGCTGGTTGCCCCGTACAGTTTCTGTGGCTAGGGTTCATGTACATTTCAAAGAATCACTCTGAGGTTTAGGCCTGTAAAAGTTTTAATTTTAAGAATTTTACTGGAACTGATGGGATGGCCAAAGTTGATTTACATTTAGTAATTTCTTATTAATTACATCAGACTTTCTTTGGCTTATTTATTAATTAGATTTTCTGAAATCTCATCCACCAATAATTCATTTGTTAATGTAACTGTAATTCATTGTATATTCACAGCCAGGAAAATGGTAGTTACAGACCTGATTGCTCTAACTCTACTAATTTACAAGGCCAAAATCAAACTGTGGTTGAGCATCATTTTATTGCAGATGAAGAAATTAACTTGTAGAATAATCTGGTCCACTGCATGTATTGCCTGCACATGGCCCTCATAAAACTGTAAAAAAGTACTCTGGAACAAGATGGTAATTATAATTCCTATAACACAATACTTATTTTTCCACATATTTTGTAAAAAAAACCCCTCAGTAACAAACTGATAATTAGCGTTCCTATGATACAGCACTTATTTTCTCGGTATTTATCTTCATTACAATCTTTCTCTTTTCCCTCCAGCTTTGTTTCTGCTCCCCATTTTTGTTTATTGGGTGGAAGGCAAACAGGTGAAAGCATTTTACAGCATTGTATGACATTTGCAGCACGGTAACATCACAAAAGTGCTTTCTTAGAAGCCTCTGTTGGCCTTTTGGGGATTGGAAGAATATGGTACAAAATACCTCCAGTCTGCAGAAGACTATGTGATAGAAAAAAGTCTGAGAAAATAAGTAAATAGATGCTAAGGCTGTAATCAATGAGTAAGAGTTAGCTCTTAGGATTGCAGCCTCTTACAGTGGGAGCAGAGGGAGAAACCCTGGGTTGTTGGATGAGCCTGCAGTCCCCACTGCTGCTATTCAAGAAAGATTAGCAATGCACTGCCTTGTAACCTTATCCCTCCTACCCCTAAAGTACGTTGTCAGATCAGCCACCATATCTACACCTTTGAGGAAATTTTCTAATAATTTTTCAATTTAGGAAAGCTGTGGACGTTTACAAGAAACCAACGGGAAAATGTTTCTTCCATGGAGACCATGGCTATGACAACAAGATAAACAGCATGCAGGTATGAGCAATGCAGTAACCTTTGCAGGAGAGTCATTGAAGGTCTCTAAAATGTAAATATTCACTGAAAAACACCCTCTCTTTTAATGCTTTTCTTTTGTATTCTTCTCTCCTTTTTTTTTTTTTTTAAAGACTGTCTTTATAGGTTATGGCCCTACATTCAAATACAAGACCAAAGTACCTCCTTTTGAAAATATTGAACTTTACAACGTCATGTGTGGTAAGCTACCTGCTTGAGAAATTGCAAGAGAAACACGTTGTTTTAGCTAACAGGGCTTCATTTACGCACCTGTGAGCTCACATCCTGACTCATAGAATCATAGAATCATAGAA